AATGGCTTGAATTATACTTATTTTAATTTTGGCTGTAAAAAATGCTTTGAAAATTATTCTCTCCACCCCCTCACCACCCAGATTCTTCATTGATGATACTGCTTTTCTGTCTTTCATAAACATTAGATTATGAAAGCCTATTTTCTACTGCCTTGACTAAAATAGGACCTTCACATGCCCATGACCACTGTGGTGTTTTCTCCTAAGTCAGTGATTTGCAGGAAGTTTAAGAAGTAAAGAGAAGATGAGTGAAACATTTGATTTGTATCAATAGGGGGGTTTGTTTGGTTTTTTTTTTTTACCACAATCACATTGTGGCTTTCATTTACTTACAACTTCTGTTGTAATATTTGCCAAGGAAACTTGGAAATATCTGGAATATCATCATTTGCAAAAGTTAGTGGTGGCACCAGGAAGGGTGTGAGGGACAGCAGGACCTTCCTGATATTAAAGAAAGTCCTGGATGGAGGATTTTGGTTGCTGAAAAATCAGGCTGATGATGGCTGAGCATGTAGATATAGAAGATTATATATTCTTATTTACATATGTGTAAAACCCCACCTGAATGGATGTTACCTTTTGTGTTTCCCTATGATCTGTTGTTTCCCATCTGTTGTTTTAATGGATGGGCTCATTTTGTATCTATTAGATTTCTCATAATTTATCTGAATTTACAGTTTTCCAGTTCTGGGAGAAGGGGATGCAGCTGTTATTTTTCATATTCTTTCCTTTTTGCCTTTTTTTTTTTAGGGAATGCATTGCTATGTACTTTCTAGGAAGCACAGATCTTTTTCAATTTTGACCTATATATCCCGTGCCTTGATTAGTTAAGAACACTAAAGCACTTTGGAATCTTCAAATTGGCTCTTAAATTGCAGATAAAAAATTGAAAAAGCTCTTTCTGTTGCCTTCTCCTACAGGGCAACATCAAACCTGACAATGGTATTTGCTCCTGGAACATAAGGAGCAAATTTGAAGGAAGATCTAAAGCACTTTTAAAAGCCATAAGCAATCAAAATGCCTTTCTCTAGCTACATGAAAATAATCCTTTTTTTTTTTTCAAGGGTAGTTATTTATTTATTAGGAAGGATTCAGAGAGAAGTGAGTTATTTAGCTGATGTAAATAATTAGTCTAGTGCTGAAAACAAGACCACGCTGGTTTAGCTCAATTAATGTTTTAGAAAACTTCATTGCATGGTCCAAAACTTTAAAATATTTCCCAAAAAATATTTATACCTGTGCCTGCGTGTTGTTATTGCATGTGCATGTTTGGATATTCATGGCAGCATCATGCAATTATCATATCCTAAATAGTCCCATCCTGAGGCATCTGCTGCAGCCCAGCACTTTTGAAGCTTTCCACTTTAGAGTCATTTCACCCAGCAAGTCGCCTTGAGGTTTATTTTAGCTCTCTTTTCTCCGTTTTTCACTCCATTTCATCAGTTGTAGGTTCTGCCTGCACTGAGCTTCACATCTGTCTGTGTCTCATGCACTGTTTGCTCCACTTGCCCAAGAAAGCAGGGACTTGGTGAGGAGCACCTGGCTCAGATTGCAGAGACAAAATGTCCCTTAGAACCTTCTCTGTACAAACACCATCAGTCTGGAGCAATGATGCAGCTCTGACCAGTTGCCACATTTGAAGCTGCATCCCCAGAGTTTCTTATTCAGCCCCCACTCAGGAGGCCCCAGTGTGTCTGTCTGGAAACCAGACTAAATGATTTGTTATGAAACATTGCTACCAGTGCTTTAAACCCAGAGATATCCAAGTTTTTCATACCAGTTTTGCTCTCCCAGACTGTTAAGATAAGAGGGAAGGTTTGGGAAGGGAAGGTTTGGGAAGGTTTGGGAAGGTTTGGGAAGGGAAGGTTTGGGAAGGTTTGGGAAGGTTT